AGTTCGGATGCGGGTGATCATTCGCGAGATAAAATTCTCCGAAAAGCATCCCGCAAATGGACCGACGCGAATTTTCGCGCCGATACGGCGAGCCTGCGAGCTCGATTTTCACTCATTCCCCCCCACCTCGCAAAGATCAATTCGGCACGCAAAGCCGGCCCGCAGACCGAAAACCGACTCGCAAAACTTGTTAATTTCGCGAGGGGTCGCCGAGGGGCGAAACGAGAAAAGAGGCGATGTTCGGCTCCGGGGAAATCTCCGCGAATTCGCGCATTAAAAAACTTGAGGCGCATACGGACGCCAAGTTTCACAAGGCGATTTCCTGTTATTGTTTCGGAAACATTTCCTCTCCTCTCGCCCCCTCACCCGAACTGGAGCCCGCGTGCCGAAGGCCGAGGGCAATGTTACACGATTGTTACCTCGGATCGAAGAAAGCGCTTTTGCGAAGATCGCATCTAATAATCCGGAAAAGCTTCGTCCGTTTTTTCTCCCAAAGTACTTATAGAGAAGAATGATATTACATTACTCTACGCCAAAAACCTACTATTTATTCCTACGTATTCATTGTAAATATATATCTAGACGAAATAATTAATTCGAGAAACGTATTTGATAGAAGTGACAGAATTGTTGCGCAACCGTCTAAATAAACCGTGTAAAACAATCACGTTGCATTGCGAATCGAAACGAAAAATAAGTATACTTGTACATTATATTTGTATTTGCAAATCAGTCAACGACGATGTTTTAGTAACGATCTACGCGGCAAAAATGATTTTTATTCAAATGTATTTTTTTTTTTCAATTTTTGTACAATATATCAAAAATCGGTGATCGTCGAAAACTAAATATCTACAAATATAAATAAGTACAAATCGGATCACTTGTCGTGTTGTTAATTAATATTACACGAATATACATAAAAAATACATTTGAAACAACACAGAAAAATATTGAAAGTTGATATGACTTTTCTCATTAAAATTGGACAAATTGATAATTGATAAATTAAATAAATGTTGCCTAATCAGCTAAGCGGTGATAAACATTTTTTTTACAAATTTTATGTGATTATAATTTGTCAAAATAAATATGTCAAATACAGAGTAATTACAAGAATTCATCAATATCGTAAAATAAAAATCTATATATATGTGCTATAAAAATCAACCAAATCGACAAAGTTAAAAAAAAAAACCGTTAAAAGGCTAAAATAGAAATTTTTTAAAACTTTGTTGCCCGCACATTCGCAAATCTGTCTACTCCTATCAATAATCATATATCTATATAAGTTAATCATCACGCTTATCGTTATTACGCATTAGTTATTCATCACGTTTTATCGTTGCCATTATAGTTCCCTGACTTAGGAATTTTACATAATCTTGATACTTTTAGACCTTTGTGATCGCTCGCGATCTATCGTCGCTCCCTAGGAATATCTCTACGTGCCGTATCTTAAATTAGATTTGCTTTGTTCGCTACATCTTACTGGATGTCGATATATATTACTGCTTACTGTCATTGCATCGTTTCCGTCTCTCTTCCGCCATCCTTTCGCGCTACAAAATATATGCACCAAATCTTTGTTTTTTGCAATTCGATCTCTCTCTCTCTCTC